GTAAAGCCCTTCACTGCCAGCGTTTCTCACCATTTTTACTGTTATTTTAAGAGTCACAGAACGTTGCGCGCTAGGATGATGTCGACGCCAAAACAACCAAAACAAAGAGGAGAATCACCTCTTACATCAGGAAGAATCTGCGCATTTCAAGCTTTATCCGTACTTTCATAACCCGTTGTCGAATTGTGATCGGCAGAAGCTTTTCCAGTTCGTGCCTCACTCAGCAGCGGCCCAAAACGATCTCCTAACACATGGATTTTCTGCTTCCTGATCATGTGACGTATGCGGATGAAGATCAGCTTTAGAGCTGAGATGTTTGTTCTCACGGTGCGGGGGGCTCGTTCCGACACCCACATAGTAAAAAAAAATGCAAATGACGACTTTAGTCATCAATGGCAGTGAATGAGTTAATATCGGCCTGGTTTTATTTATCGAACCGATACCGATATGTTTTAAAAAATGGTTAACATCAGCCGATACCGATATTGATGCTGATATATTGTCCATTCCTATAACTTTTTGATCATCTGCTCAAAGATGTGTTAGATGATCTAAAGTAGCAACATCTAAACCCCTAGGTTTTATTTCTTTAACTTAAACTGCAGAGAAACAGCTCTGGATAGCAGCTGCAGGCACTCTTTTTGCTCCCCAGCGTTGTGCTCATGTGCGCTAACACCCAGATGTAAACACCAACATTCACAAGGTCTACAATCATATATTTTTATGAATAAACTAAGAAAATTGAACCAGGACAGAAAAGACTGTTTCAGATGAATGAATTGTATTTTGGTCTAGTTCATATTAACACCATTTAGGTTAGTGAGAGATTCAGCTAAGCTCTAAGAACAGCCCACCGGTTCTCAACACAGATCGGTGTGATTTCTTAGCTGATTCCAAATTATATGTAAAAGATAGAAAAACACCCTGGTGTGAAAAATTAATCCAAGTCTGGAGTGCCTTAAGCCTGAATCTCTACTAGCTGAAGAGTCAACATGGACCGCTGTAGCTGCTTTTACCCATCCTTAGTTAGGCTCTGCCCCTTTGCGGCTGTGTGAGCGGTCCATCAGGCCGTGGGGTGAGCAGGTTTACGGTGTTAGCTAGATTTAAAGGACTCACACACATAGTTTGCAGGTTAAGGTGCAAGTCAGGTGAATGTTAGGTAAGTGGATCAATGAGAGCGGGAATGTTGGGATTATCTAGGGATTATGCACATATGAACATAATTACATCAACAACTGAGTTTAGAAGATTTTACTTCATTTATTCAGGGGAAAGACTCATTTTCTGGTCTAAAATCCATCTTGAATAACAGTCTGGGGTATTTATCTAAGGGTGTACTTGCACACACACACACACACACACACACACACACACACACACTAGACATTAGAAACCATCATAAATCGTAATATCTGTTTACAGATGCCAATAAACTGAATTTATATGCAATAAAACACAACCAGTAGTGGCCAAATGACTTGGCCAATAAGACAATCAAGTCACTGCAACAGGAAAATGATATTTTGAGTCTAAATGTGATCAGATGAAGGCAGTTTTCTTCACAAATACCATAAACTAAAAAGTACTGTGGGCAGTAAGTAGCTGAGGAGGTAGAGCAGGTTGTCCAGTAATGGGAAGGTTTTAGGTTGGACACTGGCTCTGACCAGAGAATGCTGCTGTTGTGTCCTTGGGCATGACTGATTGTGGTGTAAAGCACCTTGGGGGGCTGTAGGACCAAGGCTGGATTAACCATATGGGCAACTGGGTAATTGCCCAGGGGCCCACAAACTCTAAAGGGCCCAGGCCCAGGGCAGGAAGTGCACAAGCAAAATAGTGTATCTGTAATCTCCCGCTTTATATTAAACTAGGGTGACCGTACGTCCTCTTTTCCCCAGACATGTCCACTTTTCACTCTCTGTCCGGGGCTTCCGGCAGGGTTCTTGTATTGATGAAAATGCCCGGCTTTTCATCCAGGAGCAGGGATGGAATTTTGGGGGAGCGGGATATCCTACACATCCAGGGAGAGACAGAAAAAAAGTTTTCTACCTATATTACATCATTTATGGACTCTGTTGAGCAGAGAGCACAGACAGCGGCAGAGCGATGATCGTTGGTGCGCTCCAGGCTGCTGCGTCCAGCACACGGTCCATTCTCAAAGTGGTGCAACCAAAAAACTATAATTAACACACGATCGTTCATGTCCACACATGTTCTCTACTTTCTGTCTTATTTGTGCCTGAAGCGCTCTGCCACTGCGGAGCTCATCACCTGTGCTGCGGTGATTTCACCTCACTGACGCAGCAGCGAAACGCGCTCTCCGCTTTGTAGTCAGGAGACTGGGGGGAGCTTTTTCCATTTTTGCTTCCAATTCTGTTACGCTTGTAAAGTGACATTAAAGAAGCTAGTACGCTAAGATTCATGTGGTTTGTGCTACAACTATCAATAGTAAATTAGGATTTAATGACAGGAAATATATGCTAGAGAAATATGAAATGTATCAGTTTTGACCTTTAAACTTTAAACGGGTGAAAAGAACTACTCATGTCGTTTTTTCTTAGGTTTCAAACCCAAAAACACATTTCATGATGACATCATCTGGTGTTAGCTCTTGACAGTAAGTAAGAGCCACAGTTTGCAAGCAGGGAATTTCCGTATTTAAGGGGATGTTTGGGAGTAGTGGAGCCTTCCAGGCTAACTCTGTCTCTTTTTAAACGTACCTGTGACCCCCGGCTTGTGAACAGACTTTCCACAACTTAAAGAATTGAACCAGGACTAACGTAGATTTTTGGTTAAAACTTTTTCTACCTTGCAACATAGATTGAATAAATGCATGTCTTAACTTAGTGTCTTTAAAATTCTGCAGTTGGTCTGAGACAATTTTCCTTTCACCCTTGAACCAACCCCTCTACTGCAGACTCAGGTCATCCTGGTTTAGGAGGAACAGGAATCAGGGTAAGTCTGATTCTGTGAGTGACCACAAGCGGCTCCCCGTGTGAAACCCCACCGTCAGTAGGGACTTTTTCCAGGCCGGGTTACCACAGCCCTCCAGAGACTCTTTTATTGTTGACTGAATTTGCAGAAACTAAGAAAGAGACTCAAAAACTCCCCGTTCATGTGCAACAGCATGTGAGCTTACATAACAATCATGCAGAAACATGCTATGGAGAGGAGGCTACACCTTTTCTGTTAACATGCAGCTGTTGCAGCGAAGCATTCTACACAGAACAGCTATGGAAGAACTGACTTCAGCTCGTGCCTTCTCATTAGCTGTAGCTTGAGCCTCTTGCACAGAAAAACTGTCTGTGGATCTGAAATCCTTAAAAACAATTATCGTTTCCTTGAATCTCTCCAGATGGACCAAGCTGCTTTCAATGAACAGACATGCAGTAAGTCTCTGGGTTTGCACAAGATCACAGCGCCACCTTGTAGTGATAAGCAGACCTGCATCAGCTGCAGCAGAAAAACAAACAAGGTTTTTTTTGGACCATTTTGACTTTATTCAACAGTTTAAAAAGACAATTTCATTTGACATCTGCATATAAACGAACACGTGTAAATCCTAATATTCCCCTACAACCAATTTCTTTAAACATACATAAAATCTGAAAAATATCTGATTTAGTGCTTTAGATATGGCTGTTTTTGAGTTTTACCAAACTGCCGTCATTTAAAGGCATTAAGTGCAAGCCGTTCTGTAAAATGTGCTGCCCTGTTATGGCTTTTACTACCAGCATCATTTCATATTCACACAATAGCTACACACGTACTAAGTATTAAGTATATTTTAGTTATGTATTAGATGTTCTGATTTGTAGAAATGTGCCCTAGATGTATGAAAAGCTGAGAAAAAGCTCAATAACAAGCTATTAAGTGGCTTTTTGGTATTCTTGTTCTTTACAAATGGTTACAGAAAGAAGTCCACAGACTGGAGTAAATAACTGAAGGCCAGTTGAGTCACCAAAGTGAGTGTAAGGTCACAGCTTTAAACAAATTCTGTTTGTGCCATCATGTCTCATAAAATAACCGAAACAAATGACAAAATGACCCAAAAAATTAAAAAAGAGAAATATTAGACAACAAAAACAAACCAAGAAATAAACATGTTGTGCTTAAATAGGTCTTATGTTAGAGAAAATGAATGCTAAAGACAATATGACACTGCCACCTTGGGTTTCCTCTCAAGTTAGCATATTTGTTAACTTGTGAAGTAAAGTGGTTTCTGTGTGAAGTCTTACACTTAAAAAATAATCTGATGAGTATCCGATTAACAAGAATACGTCATATATATGGATGAAACGGTAACAAACTGGATTAAACGTGGTATCTCAGCATATTAATGTTTACATGCATTTGGACAAACCCCTCACTCGGATATTTTTATTATACTCTGATTCTGCGTTTTAGTTTTGTACCATGTTGAATACATACCAACTAAGTGTTGTCATGTGTTTAGCTACAATTGTTACTCACTTTACATCCATGTGTCCTAAAACCCTATAATTAAGGTGTCCTGACTGTGATCCATGGCTATAAGCAAACGTCTGCTGATTTTGTGAACCCTGGCGTTAATTTGATCAAAACCTTAATTAGGGTTGGGCATCGAGCATCGATTGGAACCGGTTCTAACTGTTAGTTTTTCCCGGAATCGTTCAGAGTATTTTTATTTTGATTCCTAGAACGCCGACCAGAAGAGGAATTCACGGCCAATCTCCGCAAAAAATGAACATGATCTGCATATTGTGATCAACGCTTTTCAGAGCTGATCACACCTGTCTGTGTGCAGCATTCTAGAAAGAATCAGAATCGGGAATCAATAGGAACTGGAATCGAAACGAAGAATTGGAATCGGAATTGTTCAAAATCAAACAATGCCCAACCCTATTTAAATTATAATTCTTATACATCAGAAAACTATAAACATGGAGGAAAATCTTCTATGAGGAAGATTAATTATTGCTAACACGAATTAGCGATTAGCAGGTTCACAGACTGGGAAACAATTCAATTCAAAAGATACTTTATTAATCCCAAAGGGAAATTATTGTTTCAAAACATTTATTTTACTAGTTTGTAGATCAGATTTTCTAGTTCAGAAAGCTCTAAGAGCTGTTAAAAACCCTTTTAGTGTGGGAGACCACATGTTTTTTTATTATTGGGGGAGTTACACGTCTACTTTTTAAGTCTTTGATATTATACCAGATTCCTAACCTTAGCAACTAGACAATGAATCTTTCATCATACAAAAGTGAAACCAGCAGCATGCAGGTTATATTTGGATGTCTAAACATGTACAAGGCTGTGTCCAAACTCGGGCTGCATCCTTTGAAGGACCTGTCCTACCTAGTCCACGTAGGCCGGGTTCTTCACCGACCCGGTTCTCTAAGTGAGCAGCTGTGAAATAGAACAACCGAGCTGTCAGATTTATTTTTGCCCTTACCTCACCATTTGTCCCATTGCCTAGCAACCGCATCAGAGCTGAACAGAAGTTAGTGAAAATGGAGCTCAAAATTCTGCAGCTTTTGTTAATCACCTCACTCACTCTTTATAGCCATACAAACTCCTTTACAATGATTTCCCTTAAGATTTTTGACAAAAGTTAAATTAAAAACAACTATGTAAACCAAGGCTTGGAAAACAACTGCTTTAAGCTTTTCATTTCTGTACATATTTTAAAATACTTACACTTAAACCTCTATTCCTCCCACGCTTCGCTCACCATCAAGGACTAAAATCTCACTTTCAGCCCGCAATAAATTCTGGGATATGGTGGGCCATGAAGGATGCACCAGGCCTGTCCTTCAAATCCAAGAAAAACATATTTGTGGGCCACATTTGGAGGAGGATTCCAATTCAGACAGCCTCCAAAGGACGCAGCGTTTGAATTTGGACATGGCCATTGTCGATCTAGCAAATTAACCGTAGCACACTAAAAGGGCCTTTACAGCTCTTAAAGGTTTTCTGAGTTCATTTGAATTTAAAGTCCCTTTAAATCAACCACAGCGGACTGACCACGGCTCAGTGGTTAATGCTTAAAAAATTCTAAACAAAGAAGAGCACAGGGACAAACAGTAATGGGTTCAAACACTCAATCAAGGCTCACTGCTGCAAGGATCTTAAAACACAAGAAATGACAGATAAAGCTCGACTTTTAGGCTCATTGGGTTCAACCTTCGCAGCTAAGACTAACATGTCAAAACACTCCGCAAACATTAAGAAATCAAACTATGTCAGTCAATGAAATGGGACTGTGTTAAAGGCTAAATCTGCTATTTAAACCCACTGACGGGTACTGATGATCTAAAGCAAGTTTGAAACGACAGCTGGTCTGGACCCGGATTCTGACACGAGGGCACCTTTTCATCACAAACACAGACAAAAATCTAAATGAGGTCAGCATCCATCATATTGCACATGAAGAGAATATGTCAGTTCAAGTTTGCAACAATGATTGCGTAAAATCCCTAAAAAACACAAAAATTAAACCAAAGTGTTTCTATACAAGAAATAAAACCGATCTCAAAATATGTGACAGGACCAAAACTCGTGAAACGACGTGTTTAAGCCAGAGTGAAAACATACTGGGGGCTCGTCCGGGATGACCATGCTGGAGGATTGTGGGGGGAAAGAGTGGTGAGTAAAAACGAAGACCTTCATGCTGTAGACACATAGGAAAGCTGGTTTAGTGAAATATCACAAGTTTGGCATCTTCTTCATTAACTTAGAAGTAACTAAAGGTTTTTTATGCTTCTCAGGTTCAAGAAAAAGTTGTTTGAACTGTTGTGTTTTGAAATTTCTACATTTTCAAAGTAAGAGAGGTCTTGTATGTCAATGGATTAGTTTTAGTTGCTAATTAGGAAGAATTTAGCTTATTTTCCACATATTTGTACCTTGGGGCTGGTTTCTTTTCCATTTACACATTTCTCTCTGATCAGTCCATGTTAGTGTGAGACCGGCTTCAACAGAGTGACTTCTTTTCCCAAACATTGTGACAACATTTTGTTTCATATCCTAATATTTTCAATATTAAATCACTAAAACACATTTGTGACTTTGTGGTTGTTAAAGACTAAAAATCTTTCATCTCGATCATGTTTCTATCATGAATTTTAACCCGAAAGCTACATCCAGCCTCTACAGGTCAGGTTACACTTCAACTATGTTGTTTTTGTTTTATTGGGCTTCTTCAAATCAGTAATTAGGTTTTCATTTTAAAAAGGTACTTTTACCCCTTAACACCTGAATTAGTTAAGAATTATAATTTTTTTTTTCACTTGTGGATTTTTTGCAGGTACATGCAGTATTCTGGTTGCATTTGGAGCAGATGCAGGTTTGATGCCAATTTGCGACAACCGGCGTTGAGGGCTTAAGATAAATCTGCCATGACATATGATTAAGTAATTGTTAGTGATGCAGTCACTAGGACCTTGACACTATACAGAACCACACTTCTGCAGCTACAGAATATTAGTCAGAATGGGAACGTTTAACAATAAAAACAAATCACATATTTTTCTTTTTGGCAGTGTGAGCTCATTATCAACCTTTAAGGCTTCTCTCATAGTAGTGCTTTAAGGGTTAATGAGAGGATGTAGCACCCAAATATATGTTCGAAAGGTAGTTCAGTAGAGGGGTGTGTGCTGGGACTGAACTTTCTATAACACACTGGTGTTCTCCAGCCCTTCAGCCAGGATTGCACCTAAGGAAAGCTGGGAGGGATTTTTGGGGGGACGCTCGATATTTAGACATGCAGGGACTACATGAACCATGACTCATGTTTCATTTTTAAATTTCTCCCTCATAGCTGAAGTGTGTTTAAATCACTCACACATGAAAAGTCTAACTATAACAATAAATATAACAATAAATCCACGAGAGGGAGCTAGAGGCACTGCGGCTGTTTGTAGGATCTGAGTTTACACTCACCGCTCAGTTTCAGTGAAAAGAAGTGTTTCCCATCAATTTACTCCACTTTTAATAAGCAGAAAATTACAACCAGCGGTTTACAAAAAGGGACAAAAGGTTTTAGCGACCTAATATGTATATAATACAGGGCTTTGTGGTTTCCTCTCAGTGGTCCAAAAGCAGTCAGTAAGGCAGCAGTCAAAACAAACTAAAAGACAAGCAGCAGAACTGATCTGCAGCTTCTTTTCCATCAGATTCATCTCCTAGAGCTGATTTGATTCAACTCAGATTGTTATTCTTCGCATTTACTTACACAAACACACACACATACACACCAAGAAAGGTGAAATTTAAGAAAGCGTTAAAAAGGCAGCAGTGAGAATTTAAAAATACACAGGGTTTAGACACCTTTCATGTTATTAACCCTTTTCATTAGAAGGCACACAAACTACCACAAAAATACAGGAATAAGCTTAAATTGTGCAAAACAGCTCAGTTACTGTCATCTCCTTGATGAAAGCAGAAAAAGAGAATGTTCTGCATCGTTTGCTCCAGCTTGCATTTCTCATCGTAGTGGAGCAGAAATAAGGAGGAAATGTGATTTAAGAACAACACAAACATCTGTTGGCACTGCAGAAGAGAAGTCCAAAGGCAAGGTAGATGTGTGACAGACACCATCTAAACTCCAGAGGTCTCAGGAACACAAAGGAACCACGCTGAACATGTCCGCCAGATAAAAGCAGCACGTTTCATTATTCCCTTTGAGTTTGCTCCTCCAGATAGACTTTGTGTAGCAGCAGCTGTTGTCAAAAAGAATAAAGTTATCCAGCATTGAGGTGGTGGGAGATGGTGGTGGTACATGTACTCCTGCAGCATCCTCCACCTGCTGCTCCAGCCCTCCATCACCCGTCTGAGTTTATTCAGAAGCGGGGGAAGAGGCGATGGCTGTGGGGGACACCCTGGGACCTCCGAGAGCCTGTGCGTTGACGATGACTTGGATCACAAAGTCCTTCTGGATCTTGGTGTCCTGCAGCCGTGTTTTGTCCGTTAGCAGCTTACCGGAGAAGAACCAGCGCTGGTGGGTCAGGTCGATGTCCTCCTGGGCCTGCAGCTGCTTCTTCAGCTGCCCGATGGTGTCGGCCATGCTGGCGTTGAGACGCAGGTCCTTCCCTGTGGACAGTCGTACCTACAGGGGAGTGAAAGAGTGATGAAGGCATGAGAGCTGACACACGAGGACATGAAGCTTGCAAATGGAGACATTGGTGTGGCTGGAAGGTGATGTTTGATGTAGCTTGTGGTTAGGATAACGGTGAAGCTCCTTGATGACTGATCGTCTCTCCTGATTCATGCTGGAGAGGGTTCTCAGTCATCCAGAGCATGATGACCCAGGTCAGTGCAGAAAAACATTCAACAACTCATTCAATGAGATTTCTCCATTCAAACAGAAAACGTGCAGCGCGATCTTCATTCATGAGAGCTAGTTTACAAATGCTGTCTCTGTCCCCAGTCCTGAACATGGGCTGCATTGTAAATTCATCTTCTACTCCATCACTCTTCTCTGTCCATAAAACGGTGTCCCTGGTCCAAAAGTAGACAGCTGGCTCTCGTTTCAGATTAGGCCTCAGCTGCACATGTGGACAAGTCCTTTAGGGACTGATTAGTAAACCAGCTCTCATTAACAAGGTTCTGAACCCTCATGCTCCACTGTTTCCATGGATGAGAAGTGAGATGTCTTCAAGGAAAAAGAAGATGTGCAGTTACCTTGAGCTGGAATTCCTTCTTGGAGGTTATAGAGGGTTCTGGGCTGTCGCTGGGGTCCTCATCGCTGCATTCTGTGATGAGGTTGACAGGTGGCGCCAGGCAGTAGACAGGCAGCTGGTAGCGAGTTCCAAGTTCATCATAACATTCAGTCAGAGTTCCTGTGGAGCGTTACAAACAACAGGACGTTAACACATGTAAAAAGGTACAACAGCAAAATAAATGTAAAAAGAGATTTTCCCTCACCATGTGGCAGTGTGATACTGGCTCCGTCAACGATAGCCTGAGCTAGCTCATGGTCATTGCACTCCAGGGCCACAGCAGCAGCTTTAAGGGCGTCCCAGATCTCATTGCGGCCCTCGAAGGCTGGCGCCGTGTCCCAGAACTCGTCTCTCTTGCTACGCAGCTGGCCCTCCGTCATCGGGTAGTCGCTCTTCCACTTGGGTCGATCCTTTCTCAGAGGTTCGTTACGTCCTGTGGTCGGAACAGGAGTCCAAGTCTTTAAAAGGTAATGTCAGGATGATACTGTGTAATTTAAATGAATCACAAGGGACTTGGATGTGTAACACTGCATGAGATTAATATTACAAACCCTTAAGAGTAACCCTGTTACACTGTATGAAGTCCGATTTAACTGATGCTGCTGTGTGAGATCTCGTTACAGAGATGCCAGTCTAACAGTAACTGGAAATCAGTAGCTAGCTCTTGTTAGAAGTTTCAGATGCATCAAATGAGGAGGAAAGGAAAGGAAAGGAAAGGAAAGGAAAGGAAAGGAAAGGGAGACAGAGGTGGATACGCTCGTGAATGGGGTGACCCAATAACACGGGCTAACTTTCTTCTTATATACCCATTTGGCTCTGACTTTTGATGTTGATCGGTTATTTATCAACCCTACTCTGTAGCGAGAAAGGCACAGCAACGTCTCCCAAGACAAGCAAACCTGCCTCTTCTAATCCTCATCATCTTCTACAGGGGCACGTGGAGAGCGTCCTGACTCGCTGCATTACAGGGTGGTTCTTTAAAGCTGTACTATGCAACTTTTTCATATTTTTTAATCATTTTCTTGAGCCAGAATGTGCTAGAACAACCCTTTACATGGTTAATGAAATATCATTCAGAGCCCCACTGCCCTCTGTGGTCAGAATAAATGGAGCTGACATGCTTGGTACTGCAGTCTGCTTCCAGCACGTTTCCTACGTGTTTTAGATCATCAACACAGCTGACTGGTTTGATTCAGTGATGAACCACACCTGTAGAAACTATTGAAGGCTGAGGAGACATTTCAGCTGTTAGATTAAGGTGTTTAAAGACAAACTCACAGCAAGGAGAAGAGTTTCACTTTTGGTTTTTCAACAGGGAATTAATAACGGAAACTAGGGGGTGCTAAAAGCAAAACAAAACTGCATAGTTTCTCTTTAACTGTAGCGCTCAGGACAAAAAGACCCAGCAACCAGTAGCGGCTCGTCCATAGGGGGCGCTAGCTCAACTAAAAAGTTAATAAAACTACAAAAAAGATGCCAGAAAGGAGGTTACTCCGTTAGCAAAAATGGAGGATTGGTACATAAAAAGTTTTAAACTACAGTCTAAGTTTGAAGATTTTGATTTAAAAAAAAAACATGTACAATTGTTAAAAGAACTGCAGGATGATAACATCAGGGAGTCCAAACTAGAGTTGCAGCTTTAAGAAACTCAGGAACAAATAAAAATTTCAACTTCACAATTTAATGAAGAATCAGGACATACATAATCAAACAGCAGAGAAATAGAAAAAAGAAAAATTCATTTGGAAACGTCCTGCCTCAGAGGGCATAACTGCAACAAAAGCCAACAAGAACCTAAAACAGAAAAGGGAAGATGAAGCTAATCTTCAGGCAACACCGAGGAAGGGTTTGATGGAGAGAGACCCAAAAACATTTAAAAAGATGACAGAAAGGAGTGTCATGTGAGGAAAAGGTCTGCCAATACCAACTACCAGGCCTTGCCCTCTACATCCCATAAACCAGTTACCTCCTGCCCTTCAACAGCTTCTTCCAGTCAGCATGGTCAAGAACAACCCTTCTACCCATTTGGGAAAAAAACAGTAAACAATCAGGTTCTTGTGCTTTTAAAATTTCCTTAGTAGGGAAGAGCATTGGAGAACCAGAGAAATTTGGTGGGCTACTGCGGAAAGTTATCCCGGGGACAGTGAGCCAAAATCGGATTGCACTTGGGGGTTTTCCCATTTCCTGCTCTGCTTCTGAAATATTTTTAAAGTCCTGGAGCTTAGTATCAGGCGTGATGTGACGGTCAAAGGAGCAGTATTATGATCCAATCACGAGGAACAGGATGCTCACAATGATTAGATGATGAGAAAAACATTTATTTAATTGGTTGCCATCAGTATACAAAGAACATTTCAAGCAATATCACGCTGGATCTGTATCTGTTGTCTTCTCAAACCCCCAGTCAGATGGCTGCTCATACTAAGCCAGGTTCTGCAGCTGGAGGTTTCTTCCTGTTAAAGGGGAGTTTTCCTCTACACTGTCGCTAAATGCTTGCTTCATGTGATGATTGCTGTAAAGTCACTGACACTACTAAGCAGCGACTCCATGCAATCTGCTGGGTTTGCTTAGTTAGGAAATTTTTAAAGCCTCTTTCCAGAGTTTTTTTCTTATCCGATGGCACCATCTAGTGGCTGACAAGCATATCACACAAAAAGTCTGTCGCACAGTTTTTTAAGATGGCGACTTCACGTTTCTTGTTTATAAATGTGCTTCTGTAGCCGACAGACAGAACTAAAACATGTTGTTTTATGCGTATTACTCTCATGTTATGCTGTGTTCTCATATATTTATATTTTAAAGACATTCTTGTCCGTGAAAAGTTCATCAACTCTGCATCAGCCAAGGTATTCCTTAAATTTGAAGCAAGTAAGCGGTAGTCCAATGCTATTGGTTAGTTCTGGTCGGCGCTCAGTTTCAGCGTAGGGCAGGGGGCGTGCTTAGCACAAAAAAAATAAAAGACGTATTGCTTATAGAATATCACAGTACATGATGAGATAATCACTGTTACGGATTTCTGAAAAACCATACATAAATTCTGAAAGTAGAAAACTCCAGAAAGCTACTTTAACTAATTGGAATAAATAACCAAAGTCAATGCACTGATAAGCAGGTTCAATATGAATGTTTCATTTAACTTATTTATTTATAACGCACCATACAACAACCAATCAAGGCAGCCCAAGGTACAATACATTAAAGATTTATAAAAACAAAAAATAAAAGCAATAATAAAGCCACGGTAAAAATAAATCACCAAAAGCAACCAAATACACCAAAAGTAAGGTCAAGATAAATAACAGCTAAAATAAAAATTATGAATAAAAATGTTCCTAATTTATAGCTAATAAAAGACCAAAATAAACCCTGTCAAGTTGTTAACTAGCTTTAAAATAGTGCTTGAGTTTAGCTTTAAAACCTCTGACATTAGTTGATCTAGAAGTAGTTAATTCCATAGTGTTGGAGACAGGATTGCAAATGCTCGCCCGCCTCAGGACCTACGGTTAACCAAGGCTCAACCAATAAATCACAATCTGCAGAGTGACGAGGTCTTTTTGGAACATACCTAGTTAAAAGCTCTGAAAGATATGGTGGTATTATTCCTGCAAGTGATAGAAAATCATAAACAAGTGTTTTCATTTCAATACACAATTTCACAGGTAGGCACCATAATGCATTCAAGGCAGGAGATATATAATCCCATTTTTACCCAATAAATTAACCTTGCCGCTGCATTTTGTACCATCTGCAATCTTGCAATTGCAGATTGAGTTATCCCTCCATACAGCGAGCTGCAATAATCAAGTCTGGAAATTACAAAAACATGCAAAATGTTTGCTTTTTAAGTGCTCCGAGACGACTTGTGAATTGGTGCCATGTAAATAAACCTAACTGAATTGAATACTTAAAAACTAGTAAAACTGTGTCTTCTAGAGTTGTTTTCTCTAAACAGAGGTCATTCAAAAGAATGTCTACAACTGGTAATCAAATTACGACTTTTACAATGAAACACAGCTTTGGAAAACAAACTGCATTTGTCAAGAACAAGTTCAAAATTGCATTGTACAAGAAAGCAACATTTTAAAATACACCTCATTAACAAGCAGTAACTTTCAATATTAAAAAAGGACTAACAGGTGGGTAAAGCTGGATAAAAATGGATTTCATGTTTACGCAGCACGGCATGGCGTTTATGCTCAGGTCATAAATAGATCTGTCTGTGCAGCTCAGAGCCTGTAACACAGGATGTTTGATGGGTACAACTTTGATCAACCATCTGATGTATGCTGATGATCTGGTGGTCTTTAGTCCAAGTAGTGCTGGTTTACAGCAGCTCCTAAATATCTGCTCTGAATATGGTGTGCAGTACGATATTCAGTATAATGCTGTTAAAAGTGCTATCTTGATATGTAGAACCAAGCAGGATAAAAAGCTAAACTTTCCTGTGTTCAAACTGTCTAATAGTGATCTTAATGTGTGTGAGAAGGTGAAATACCTTGGCCATTTTATAACCGATCAAATGCGTGATGATGCTGACATCCACAGACAGTGCTGTAAGCTGTATGCACAAGCTAACACTATAGCTCGTAAGTTTGGTTTTTGTTCACCTCCAGTTAAGGTGGCTTTATTTAAAGCATATTGTACTCCGCTCTACACAGCCCAACTGTGGTCATCCTACAATCAAAGCAGCATGAACAAGCTGCAAGTTGCATACAACGATGCCTTAAGGATCATACTTAAAATACCCAGAGGGGGCAGTGCCAGTCAGATGTTTGTAACAGCAGGCGTTTGTACTTTTAAAGCTCTTTTAAGAAAACTCATATTCACTTTTATAGGCCGACTGGATAGCTCTGCCAACAGTATAATTTTAGCAATCACTGATCCTACTGTGAGCAGTTGTCGCTATTTCTCCAGTATAAGGAAATACTGGTTGAAGTGTTTGTGTGGTTAACCTTGTGTGGAACAGTTTATAGTAAAGCTTTTAATTACATTTAGATTTTTATTCAATTTTATGCTGTTATCTTTTTATTCTATTTATCTATTTTGTTTCATTGATCTGTTGTTTTATATGTATTTTATCTGGACCTAAGAGTCTGTCAATAAAGATTATCTATCTATCTATCATAAGTACCTATAAATTTATAGATAAACAATACTTCTAGAATGTTTACCAACCCGTTTTAAAACCTTCATAATCGTGTAACAAATTACATAACATCATATTCTAATTCCTGGCGTTCATCTTTACCAGAAATAAACAGAGCTGACAGGAGAGACAAGTGCAAGCTGTCACCAGAGACAGAAAAACACCACATCCTGTTGTGTCATCTGAATCTAAAATTAGGTGGCTGGTTATTTGCAATATGCATGAAGCACACAAAGCCTGTGTGCGTCCATGTAACCTTACCTGAGCTTCCCACCAATCAGCATTAA